AACTGACTGGATATATAAAACTTTCAATTAATTTTTACCCCCCCCCCCAGCCGAAAAAATTCTATTAATTAATCTGCACGTCATTGATTCATAACAACAACATATATATATAATTATTTATGATTTATTTCTTAGAAAAATCTATTTGATATTAATTTTAAAAAATGACATATTGATTTCATTCAAAGTTCGGATAAAATTTGTTGAAATGATAATAAAATACCCGATATCTATTAATACCCAGTGTATACATGTTCTTCTGAAACCATTTAATTTTACAAAATCAAACAAAATCGTTATTCTAGTACGCAATTTTTCTCATGATTAACTAGATTTGATAGCAGTTAAGTTTCCACATCCAGGTATGTGGAGCTCATGATGGCTGTATGTTTTGAATTTGACCCTGCTCATATACATGTAAGTAAGGAGAGAGTTCAAGGTGCAAAAATAAATTGAGGAATTATTTCAATAGTATTTCAAACCTAACCAAATGACCTATTTAGAGGTTATGGGGTTGGTGGTGGGAAGGCATCCCCCCTGCACACCTAAAATGTAGGAAGATTTTAAAAATACGACAACCCTCGTATGCTATTAAACTCATGTTAACTACAAGTATTGCATGTTTCTGTCATTTAACATTTAACCCCCCCCCCCCCCCAAACAATCCAACTACTGGTCATCCTGGATCTGTTCCTTTCATTAATGCATGTGAATTATTATTCATCCATTTGTTTATAATTTATCAACCTGCTTACTTAAAATTAATTATTCAAAAAATTTCCTTGCTATATTGCTTAACATGCTGTTTACCAACTTAATGTCCTTAAATTGTTGTACAGCGTATACGGTAACTCACTACATTTCACAAATTTTCTGTCTAATTATATTTAGAAAACAAAAACAAAAAAACAACAAATTTTCATTACCCAGTAGCATCTATTTTATTGTTGTTCCCGAAATTTTTTTTGAAATATTTTTTAACTTCACATTTTGAGAGATATCGTTTATACTGGATTCAACCCCCCCCCCCCCCTAAAAAAAGAAAGAAAGAAAAATTGACATCTTGTCCTATCGAAAGCCGTGCTTAAAATGAGATGATTTTCAAATGAATTCTACAGGTTTCTCAAACGATTATTACACGAGATAAACACTTTGGTTTTGAAAGAAGAAATTGATATTGAACAGAAGCCGCTTGCTTCTCGGGTTTTCCTGACATTCCAGCATAGTGCAATGTAAAACAAACAAACGAACAAACATGCACTCATAATTCTATACACCACTGCATGATGGATAATAGTTAATACAACTATTTATTATCATATTATACAATTATTAAAAGAGACAATGACTCAAAAATGTTTCTGGAAATGCTCAATAACATACATTTATTACCGTAGTAACATTACAATGCAAAGTGAAAGTCATGTTCACTCTGAAAACTTTTGACGTTGGTGCGAAAGTAACGTGACGTCATTGTTTACCTGTTAAAGTATCATTGATATAAATGAAGAAAAAACCTACTTAGAGTTGACGTAGGGCCATAAAAATTCAGATTTGACAACTTCTAACCTTGCTCTATTAATATCCATGAAGAACTTAAAATGTGTAAAAATTGCCATAAGGCCCTTTTCTCCTGGGCGCAATCATATATATATATCACTTTGTATATCATGCAGATACAGATACAGATAGATGAGCAGCAAGTAAGTTGTTTGTTAATATTTATTTATTTTATTAGATTTTTATACGAATTTATTAACACACATGCATGTATAAATTTATCCGTAACCAAATGTTCCTTTTGATGTATGAACACATTGAACACACCTGTAAAATAGTTTAATGTTACATACACAACATACACAACATTTCTTAGCATAAATGATACCAGTACCCCCATCCCCCGACCTTTCTCCGAGAAAAAGTCACAAAAAGAAGATATGATTTTGTCTAAGGAAAATTATTTTTTAGAAAATATTGTTCTCCAGTAATGTCATTGGAAACAACCGAGGAAACAACTACATGCACAATGCTTTATGTATTTGTTATTCTTATGAAAAAATATTACAGATTAAAATAGAAATTAAATACAGTTTATCTTCGGTATCTCGAACACTAAATACTTGAATACCATGGATATGTAGAAGTGATTTGGAGGTCTCCAACCACTTATTCTTTATGTATTTTACCTCGATATCTGGAACCTTCGAATATATCGAAATTTTTCTCGGCCCCATCGAATTCAAACAAAAGAGGTTTGACTGTATATGTATTATACATTGTATTATTAAACAGGGGGCCAAGGTGTCTGATTCCTGTATCGAGGAAATTCTGAACTTCATCATATACACTGATAGGTCCCCAAGGCCCGGACCTAATAATAACATAAAAACGGCAATTTACAAACTGGTAAGTTTTCATGGAGCTATAGAAAATAGAAAAATTCAAAAGCGCGTGTATGTCATCGGTATTAAGTTCTTCGTAAGGGTGAGTTTTCTACATGTCCGTCGAGGGAATATATATATATATATATATATATATATATATATATATATATATATATATATATATATATATATATATATATATATATATATATATATATATATAAGAAACTGCATTTATCTTTCAAAGAACCCCCTAGTAATTTGAAGTAATGCTGTAGACTTGGATAAAATCTATGCATGACTTTCTGTCAAGTTTTAACATCATATTCACTTGAAAATTTTGTTTGCTTTAATTGGATCTTAGAATAACTTGTATTCTTCTAGTTTAATGCACAGTTTGACTGGCTTAGACGTCCAGACGTTGTGTATGATTATAAGCAGCATCTAAGGGCAATAAAAGTAAGCGATTTCATTATTTATGCAAAGAGAGATAACTCTATTTAAAAGTTGATATAAATATGGTCAGCTATTTTTCATATTCGTATGTGCTTTATATGAAAGATAAAGTTGAGGTTGGTTAAACAATTCTTTAATATAAAAATAATTACTTTTATGCAAATGAAAACATTAATATGAGTAATAATTGTCAGGTTGAGTTGGGAAAGTCAAGTCCACCTACCAAATAAATGTGATTATACAAAGATTTCTGACCAATGAAATGTATCAGTGTAAAATATCAATCCGTATATCTAGACCGATTTCATAACTTCGGTATAGTAGAGCTTCCCCCTAAGCACTATTTATATGAAAGGTGGTACATGTATCAAATGCATGGGCCTCAAAACGCATTTAATAAAATTTTTGACCAAATAAGGACCATCTTATACAAAATTAAACTTTTATGCCTAATTAGATGATATTTCAAAACGAATAAAATGTATTTTGTTTTCCTCCCATTTGTATTGAAGTGGATATAATGAAGATAAAGATATTGACAAATACATGAAACAACTTTCACTTTCGGCAAACTGATTTGGAAAATTTAGAAATCAAAATAGAGATCTGTATTTGTAGATATATAAAGTCGATATATCTATGGATCAACCTTGTCAAAGGTCTATATTTGTATAATGTACATTTATATGAAAGGAGGGATGAACAGATATGTATTGGTTGAAATCCATCATGACTCTTGACGTCTCTCTCCAGAGACCATAATTTTTATTCATTAAAACCCATTTAGTACGTCTACTTCACTTTTTTTTTCAGAGTGGAGAAACTCATACTACAGAACATGAAAACGGACCGCAATACAGCTTATATAAAAACCAAAAACTGTTCGGTAAAGAGGTAAGTTTTTGCAAACTCATGAATTGTAAATATTTTCTATACGTTTACTTATAATATTTAATTTCGTGAAGGATTCAATGCGAAATTATATCCGCATACATGCATGATTTGCATGACATGACATACATGATTTGACAGTGCATGCATATGCACAATCAAATCGACCACATATTTCAGTATGCCGTTCTAAGAAGACAGCACATCATGCAAGAAAGAACCGGATCGGTAAGTTTGGATATTCTAGTAAACTATATATGCCAATGTACTCATATTTTAACTTCTCAGCATCGGGTTTTCTTTTAATTAAAAGTTAACTTTCCCCCTTTTTCATTCTCTAACTAGTCAGTTAATTTGCTTACATTCATTTTTTTTCTAATGATGATTTTAGTTTATTTGTGCCTCAGTCGTATCCATAATGAGGTAGTTTTTAAATCACTATTGACATAATTATATTTTTGAAGTTAAAAAAAATCTTTAAACGCTGAAAAAAATAATTTAGTTCCATGTTCAACTAAATAAAATAATTACTTTTTAGTAAATAATTCAATTTTCATTTGTTTAAATTTTAAAAAGGGTACACAAAATAGATTGGTTCTTGCATTCTCTGATATAAGAATACATGTATGTTGAAGATGAAAGGGAAGAATATAAAGAAAATGTAAAATAACTTCTTTTTTTAAATTTTTTTTATTTATTTATTTATTTATTTATTTTTTTTTTTTTTGCTGTCTCACGTTTTAGGCCTCTGATTGTTTTCCTTCGATTTCAAATGTTTTTTCCCCGGATGTAAACATCACATTTCCTTTGTAATACATTATATTGAGAGAAAAAAAACCCAGCTAATTTAATATCGCCCAGAAGTTCATTGAATCTCTGAAAAAGAGAGATAAATTTAAATGGGATAAATGACTATCATTCCTTAAAAAATTCAAGTTAAAAAGCTATTACATATGTGTATGATATTGTGTGTATTATATAAAAATTACATTTTGAAAATCACAAGCATAAATGCAATACTTTACATTCATTTAACATTTTCATAACTGCGGTACTGCTCTTTTGCGAAGCAATTTCGTGACGTTTTGCATAATTTTTGAATGACGTTTATGGAACATTTCAGTTATTCTACCAAAATTTATGAATTTGTCCTGGAAAAGAGCAGTGTCGCCATTTTTGTGAAACAGTCTTTTTAGACAGAGGAATAATGAACCTTTATCATCAAACAAAAACGTGTCTATTTACACATTGCGTTAATTTTAAGTTTGTTGAGCACCAGAAAAAAGCCCCTTATTTGGAGGTGGAGAGGAAAATCCAAAATGGGACGTCAAGGGTACGTGCAATTTTAAACGTGAAATTTAATTATGCATTTCTTTTCATAAACAACAATACATGTAAAACTTTTACTCACTAAATATAGTCCTATATATTCTAATTCCTGCATTAAAAGTAGGGATCTCCAAAAGCTCATTTTTTTTCTCAATCAGCTGGAACAGAATTTAAATGATACAAATTCCTGAATCTTCGTTAAGATGAATAAAAACATCACAACACTGAATTATCTCTACCGTTTTCATTTTTAATCTTCAAGTGTTTGACAAAATATTACTAAAGTACACATACAATGAACATTATTATTATGACGTTAGAAAGCGATGAAAAGTGATAATAAACTCTTGAAGATTGAAAATGAAATGTGGTCTTATTTTTTTTATTATTATAATACAACTCGTTACATGTATATACATGTATAATGAAAATGCGAGGTCTTAGAAATATGCAAAGATATGTTCCAAGACATTCCTATCCATTTCACCATATTTGTTTACATTCTTCATTAATAATATTTTCGCTATTACAGACGAGATATAGGTTTCCCCATGTTCATGACAACTTTGAAAATCGGTATGCGGTAAGTTTTCCTAGGCGTAGGGGTGGGGGTAATTGCAAATAAAACTGCACGTTGTCTTCCCTGAATAATAGGTGGCGCACAACACGTTTAAGTTCATGACTATTCGTACCTTCAATTTCAGAGAGTGTCAACGTAATTTCGACCTCGTAGACCTTGCTCTTTTGCTTCAATTTTATAGATATAATGGCTGATTACGGATCGTGGGATCTACCTACACTTAGAAAAATATGCTCGCATTTCCGGCCGCAAAAGAGAGTTGGTTGAAAGGTATACTTGCGAGCAGTTTCTTAGCCATAATTTTCTCTGTCGTACACAGAATCGTGATTAAGACGATATCGGTACCTGATATTCTTCGTAATTTCAATAAAAGTTCTCCAAAAGCATATTTTATGTAGATTTTTGTGAGTTTAATTACAATTTGTACTATCTACATTTTTTTTTTAAATTCCAGTCAGTTTTTGACGTCAAATACATCTTAGATCATCTGTACAATCGGCGCTTAACGTATTAAATCTTTTCTTTTATTAATGAACTTTATCAATGGTGATAAAAGTTTTAAACGTCAAGCGCCTGTGAGCTAAACCTACATAATTTAAATTAAAAATGGCCTTGTTGTATACACGCAACATTTACTGTGACTCGACTGCCTATCACCTAGCATAGGCCTCTAATTTCTATCAATAAGCCGTTATATGATTGATTAGAGTAATATATATACCCACTCTATATATAAATACATTTATATATTTATACATTTATATATAGAGGGGGTATATATATTACTCTAATCAACCATATAACTGACGCTTATTGATAGAAATTCAGAGGCCTGTGCACCTAGTAAGCCAGTATCAGGCTTGGGGTAATGCTAAATGTAATGGTAATGCATTACTTGCCTAGTATATATATATATAGATAGATAGATAGATAGATAGATAGATAGATAGATAAGCTTAGATAGAAAGATAAATAGAAAGGGAGAGAGTATTATTGATGAGAAACCTCTCTGTTTAGACTTAAAAATATTGCAGTAACTAAAAAAATATGTAACAATTTTTTTTTAAACACTGAGTTGTATCAGTAAATACATTCATGAGTCTTTCCTTTTCAACATATTTCAGACTTGAAGCATATGACAGAAATTCAAATTTTGGTTCTCAGAAAGAGTAGAGAGTATTGTATGCAAGTGCCTGGTTATGAAAAGTTTAAAGATATCAACAAAGATACTCAGATAGTAGGAGTGAGAGAAGAGGCAGTGAAAGCATATCTAGAAAGAATGAATAAAAGTGTAAATAGCAATGTGATGTACATATATGAGAGCAAGTTTCTAAAGTATGTGAGACTCGTGCTGAAAATAACTTTTATTACGTGAAGGCAGAATGCAAGGCACAGATGAAGAAGAGTATGTCATATAAAGTGGATGTATGTGTCGATATGGATGGGTGTATCGTGGAAAATCAGTGCGAGTGTGCTGTGGGCATGGGCCCAACTGCTGCATGTAAGCATGTATGTGTTGTGTTATTCATTTTACAGATGTTTTGTAAAAGTGGAGACATTGTAACCGAGGAGACATGCACTCAGAACCTTCAAACTTTCCATCAAACCAAAGTGTATAAAGGCAGTCCAATAAAGGCAAATGACTTGCCTTTAGCTGGTGAAGTGGATGTTAGTTATGATCGAAGACCAAGAGCATATCGCAATATGCCAGGATATCCAGATACCTTCAGAAATGTCTGGCTAAATCATCCCAACATTAGTGATTTAGCAGTCTCACAAATCTTCCCACATGCCAACACAATTGGGTTAGAAAAAGATCATGACTATTTGAGTCATCCTTTGTCATACATATGGTTACAAAACATGAATATAACAAATATTTCAGATGAGGATATTGTTAAGTTAGAAGAGCAAACACGCGGTCAAAGTAAAAGTGCCATCTGGCGAGACGAGAGACGAAAGAGAATTCATTCTTCCAACTTTGGCAGAATTTGCAAGACTACTGACAAAACTGATTTTTTAAAGCTGGCTGAAAATTTAACAAAGCATATGCCTGAAATTCGTGTACCTGCTATTTTGCATGGTAGATGTTATGAGTCGGTGGCAATAAAAAAGTTTGAGGAAAAATTTAATGTTAAAACCTCAAAATGTGGAATATTTGTTTCAAAGTTGCATCCTTTTTAGCTTCTTCGCCTGATGCCATCTTGGACCAAAGTACGCTAATTGAAGTTAAATGCCCCTACCATGCAAAATACAATAAAATATCAGAGGAGACTGTCTCGTATTTAAAAAATGTTGATGGATGTTTAGAGCTGGACAATACTCATGACTATTTCTATCAAATTCAAGGGCAACTTTTCTGTTTAAACAAAACATGCTGTTATTTAGTTTTTTACACACTGAAAGATCTTAAAGTTATCTCAATTCAAAGAGACCAAGCATTCATTGACAGAATGTTGCAGAAATTAATTTCATTTTTTGACACATACTTCAAGACTGCTGTTTTGAAGAACTTTTATTACCATGACCTCAAAATGAACTAAAATTTAAGTTGTTAACAATTATGACATCTATGGACCTATAGGCACTGCCACACATGAACAGTATTTTTTTTTTATATGTTGTAAATAGAAACTTACACAGGTTACATGTTCATACATTTATAGTTATAAGCATGTGAATTCTTTTTTCAACCAGTCTGCACAATATGTTTTGTCAAAGTATAAAAACTTTCCATTAAAAATTTTTTAACATATACCATGTCCTATCATAGTTATTGACTCTGTTATTGACACTGTGAACCAACTTCAATTCATTCGTTTTCATTGAAGACAAAATCATGCATGTTTGGGAACAGTACATTTTTTGAAATTACAAAGTATGAAACATACAAATAAAATTTCACTGGCTAATTTTGTCTCGGTTGTATTTAAGGGTGTTTTAAGAATTTTGTATGTATTTCCTAACCCTATCAGCCGTTCAATATGAACTCTTTTGCTGGATATTTTGTGATCACGCAAAACTGTCTTTCCTGGCATTGTTTTGTTACTTAAAAGTTACATCTTTAGGAGCAAACAAATCTTGGACATGAATCCTTTGTCTGCCATAAGAGAATCGCCAGGTTCAAATAAGTCAGTACTTACCAGAGGACTCCGTTCAACAAGCTGTCTATCGCTTGCAGACCCTCCGTAAGCAGAGGACACATATGACATTAAATCCCCTGGAGTTGAGCCTACAAGTACTTTGACAGTGTTTCTATTTTTATATGTAGAGAAGGTTGCTTGTTGGGCAACGGGTGGTTTAGGTTTCTTAACAGGAATTTCAGTTCCCTCCACTGTCTTGACATGAAATTCACCCAAGTAATCCAAATATTTTCAACAGTTGTTTGTGATATTGAAAATAGTCTACTTAATTCAAAATTGGGCTTATGTTGCCTCAACTTAATCAGTGTCAAAAAGAGCTGATTTTCAATGGACATATTTTGAACCTGATTATAAATATAATTGAGATGAAAGGCTGCTTCAACAAGACTATACAATACATGTAAAAAGTCTGTGTAGGAACTCAACCCTGTATAAAACATGATGCCTTCATCATCATACATGAAATTTTCAATACACATGATTGGCGATTTTGCTGTTTGACATGATGAATCTACAAAAACAGGTACAACGGGGACACTTATCTCATTGACAATATCATTATCACTGAAGCAAGACTTTTCATCCTCAACTTCTACACTGTTGCCCACTTCATATACATTGCAAACATCTGAAACCATTTCTGTTTCCATTTCCGAATTTTCTCGGTCATTTTTCTCCAATTTGGCACGACGGGCAAGTACTCTCTTGCTCCTCTCATCAACACCATAACTCCACTTTGACTTGGTCCAAGGGAAGATGGAAGGGACTGCATCAGGTTTTTTCTGCCTTCTTAGTGGTTCAGTGCCTATCAAGTTATCAAAAATATTTTATTGTTTACTACATAATGAAAATGTTTTGGAAAAAAACATGATATATCAGGAGATGTTTAAAATTTTTAGTCCAAAATGTATAAAATCTAATAAAAGTTATATGTATTATAAGGCTTATCGTATCCAATGGTGACTTCCTAATCCACTCGTCAGGAATTTCCAAAAGAGCATGACTGCAGAATGACTTTATTTCCTCAACACATCTTGATGAATTATGACATAACAAAATAGCCATGAAATAGCAAACTTGGTATTTTTCAATATATATTTCACAAGTTTGACCACTCCAATGCATATTTTGATAATATCAAACTGTTTAATATTGAGATACTGCGCTGGCATTGGAAAAGAAAAGCAGTTGTCAACATGTAAAAATAAATGGAGATAATTCGTAATAATCCATGCAAATGTAAAAAAAAAAATGATAAACTATTAATCATTGAAATTCTTTACGTCATATCAGCTGTTTCATTGTCAACTATGAACATGTGTAACAAAAGTAAATATTATTGTATGTGTATATGCATTATATTTATAAAGGTTTACATCTTATATAAAAGCATCATCTCTATGGCCAAATTCTCAGTATGATTTGTCATTTAAGAAAAAAGTTTCAATGAAGTCTTAGATTTTTCGCTGTATTAAAACTGGTATTTGATTTTGATATACATGTATATAGATACAAGTAAAATTTTAATGTGTATCCGTCGCGTTATTACACAGCTGTTATGAACTATAAACAAATTATGTTGTAAGACAAAATATAATTAAGCAACTAAAAATGAAGCCAAATAATCTTACTAACCGTGCTGTGTTTCGGAGGTGAAGTCTTCCTCACGAAAGTGTTTGTGACATACAACACTGAATGGCTGTGGCGTCCAATGTTTATATGCAATATCCTCATCGTTTCGTCGAATAGCTCGAATCCAAAGCTTACTTATCCTTTCTTCCTTTGGAAAGCTTAATCCTCCCCTGGTGGAACAACCAGGCACACAACAGCAAGTGGGCATTTGATGTTTATTATGACTACTCTGATGTTATCGAAATCGAAGCAGAACAGGAAGTAAATATGAACCGAAACGTGTCGTGCGCCACCTATATCATCGTAAGGGGCAAGAACTGACAAATATTTGCAATTTCAAATTAATCTGTTTTATTTTAATAGTCTAATATATGCATTTTCAATACAATGAAAATAATTGTTCAATATTTCTAAGCCTTTTGTTTTCTTATATCTAGATTGAAATGGCAGATCACATTGTTATTCACAGTAAATATTTTCCGGTGAGTATTATTTAATAAAAAAATTAATGACTGACACGGTATTTATCTGCGATCAGGTGATCTAATGAGTTACGGAGAAAAAAATACCACCAATAACCCTTCACAATGTTCCTCTCTTGCAACAATTTATTGCATAAATGTTCGTATAAAAATGGTTGGCCAAATGATACAAATGAAAACTTCTTATAGACGAAACAAGATCTTAATTTTAAACATTAGGAAAATAATTTGCTTTGTGCCTAGATGAATACATCACTTCCCTTGTCACCTGGTCACATGACATGCAAAAATTCATAAAGTCCATAAAGCAAGGACGTTTTAAAAGAATCTTTTTTTATTAAATGTTTTTGTATTTAACTGTATTGAGACCTCTTAGAGTTTGTGCTGTGCTTTAGGTAAAGCAATTTATCCTGATATGGCATTCCTTCTTAGAGATTCCTTAAGATGAATGAATGAATGAATGATGCATTTTAAGAATCCTTATTATTTACTGGCGATATATATATTTGTTTTCTTTTTACAGACACGATATCGATGAGACGAATGAACGAATATACAAACTGAAAACTCAGATTAATTGCCTTTATAAGTGATATTTTACTTCTTAAAGAAAATGTCTTTCGTTTATTTCACACCTGGGTCAGCATAAATTTTGTACATTTAATTAAATTAAATTAAAATGCATTTCTTATTTCCTGTGCTTAACATGAAACCAATAACTAATACAGAAATATAGCGAATCTTGAGGAAAATGAAGACCAATTCTTGCGTCACACATACTCTTCATAAAATTATGTTTTTTTTTTTTTGTTTTTTTTTTGTTTTTTTTAAATTTTTATATTATTTTTCAGGTGTAAAAAACTTTGATTAAAATCTTCTATAATCATGCTTTTTAGTGAATACAATAGCATGTAGAAAATACTTTTTATTATGCAATAAAATATAAATGTTTGTTTGGTTTATAATAATTGGATAATATCGAATTAAAATGATATATATACCCCAAAAAGACTGGGCCCTCTATTCCCCTAGTGATCCAAGACCTATTGGATTCGGTATGGTTATCTCATTTGTCTGGCTTTCCGCCTGTCTAAGCTGTTTGTCCGATCGTCTGTTTGTAAATGCTTTAAACGATCAAGGTCACCAGGCGATGATATAATAGTATTTGAAACTCTGTCAGGGTACGTTTTCCTCCTTAGTCTTTAATTATGTATGTATGTTCTTTCAATGGTTATGGTCACTAGAAATGTTCTTTCAATGGTTATGGTCACTAGAAATGAAAGAATGATAGCTTTTCTGGGTCTTTACCCTGAATTGATTCAATCTTAATTAGGATGTCTTTGCTGATGAATTGAAACCCTGTCTCAAGGTCAGATTTCAAAGTTTAAGATCAAATATTGACAATATATTGAGATTCTGAAGATATAATTTTGAAAAAATTTATTGGTATAAAATCAAAATTGGTATGCTGATCACCAAACAATGCATCAAGAAGCTGACTCAAGGTGATATTGGAACGGTTAAGGGTACGAGATGATATACATATAATGAAAGCCAGTTGTGTTATTGGGAGGAGGTTTGAGTTATTTCCATAAAAATGTCGAGCTGATTCAAAATTTCTAAACATTATTGTAAAAAAATATCATTATCTGATATCTATATGAAATATTAATGAGACCCATTAATCGAATTATCTGTATACAGTTTTGTGTACTTTGGTGAAGAACTCTTTTTCAGAACCTCGTCCTCCGTGTCAAGCATCAAGGACTGAAAATAAATTTTAAAAGTGATCATCTTCATCGCCTGATTTTATCTCAAAAAATATTCTGATGTTGTGCAACAACTTACTTTGCACTCCTCTCTAGCTTTCACAGAACGTAAAACAAAACAACAAGGACTTGTAACTATTAGCAGACAGCCCAAGGACCACATTAAGCTGTGAATAGATACAATGAATTTGCATTTCATTTTAAGGGGGTTTCACGGCTATATCATAATTTTTCTTTCGTTTTGAAATGCTTTCAAAGTCGCTATATATTTCTCTGTACTGTATAAGGTTAATAAAATAATGTATTTTACCTTAAAAATGCCTTACAAAAGTAGATCTCCGTCTAACAAGAAATATTTTTGAAAAAGAAGCTACGTCTTTAGAATTTTAATTAATATTTTGAGTTTTGGTTGTTTCTGTTAGTTTTACTTACGACGAAAATCCCAGGAGCTTCACCATTTCTCCACCAAACAATGGTCCTTCAAGCACAAAAAAAAATTTACAAATATCATGAAAGTATTAATAAGAAATAGCCCCTGGAAGAGTGAGAGCGGAATGACTTTCACCTATGTATCCTGAATCCATATAAAACTTATTTCCTAAGTCACCCTTTAGTTACAAGATAAAGCTTTTTAAGCTCGTTTTTTTCTGTTTCAACCTTATTGGTAAAATACATACATAAAATACCTTGAATTACTTGTACCTGATTATACGTTAAAACCTGCTTAAGGCAAACCTTGTGGATTTCAGACATATCTTGATTTCATTTATAAACTTCATATCTTCATAGTTTATAAAATGAATTAACTACTGTAACAAAATACTCCATAAGTTTTATATGGTACATGTAATGATTTTGCTCTGGGTAAAAAAAAAAGCAACCAGACATAAACAAAACATTCGTATCATGGGTTTAGGATTCGCTAAGTGTCGGTTAAAGGATAAGATATTATAAAGATAAATCTTTAACGTAGAACCTACGTCGTATGACGCCATATCGAGTAAATGAGTTTAGTCTGTCTTTTTGGTGCTAGATCCATTATGACGTCATAATTAATTTAATGTTACTTTTTCCCGTACTTTACGGCTTTAATCCAAGACTGTCTCATGTAATGAAGTCGCACAACTGTGATAATGTGAATGGCATGCAACTATTTTGAAGGAAATTAAAAATCCCAAGAAATTTAAATAGTACAATATCTTGATGAAATGTGTCTGAGTCAAAGATCTGTTAAAGATTTTGTGTAAAGGTAATGTCTATCATGAAATGACGTGTATTCTTTTTCATAATTATTTGTTAATTATTCATAATGGTTGGTGTATAATAATTAATGTTTCCCTTAAATATTATCTTTTTAAATAAAGAAAATTACATTCTATGATAAATATTCACATTGTAAATCTGAACGTAAACCCAAAACAGTCATTTAATAATTAAATCCCGTGTAAGTGCAAAAAGGTCAACAAAAGAATTATTGATAAATAGAGTGTCTCTCATTAGTTTGCGGGGAAGGGTGTATATTTTAATCACTTTTTCTAATTATTTGGGTATGTTCTTCATCATATTAAAGATTGAAAACATTCTGACAAAGACTTTTGAAAAATATTTACAAATTTAGGTTGTAAATTGACTAAAAAATATTGAGCACATTTGCATATATTCGTTTAAATGTGGACTTAATCTTTTATGTCAATTGAATAAAAATAATTTATTCTTGAATAAAATTGCTTAATACAGTTCAGTTAATAAAGTCTATAAACTACGATGTTTGAAGAAGTATTTTTGTGATTTTCTATATTCTCTTTATGACCAGTACCCCTAAAAATGACTGAAAATATGTAGTCGCAGTATAAAATTATCATTCCAAGTTGCACAGACTGCACTATACATTTAATAACAAGTAGGCATACCATATATTTTTAACTGATTGATAAGCGAGTGCTAATTTATCATTTTGAAAATATTGAAAATCTTGTGACAAAGACTTTTCCGAAATAGGTTCTACCTTAAGAAATGTAAAATTATTCTATTCTATACATGTAGAATTACATGTATATAGTCATGCAGTAAGGCCCGGACTCATTACTTTTGGAACTATTTTACACAAAACCTTGCAAACAATTTATTGCTTATTTTACTTTTGAAACTTTAGTTCATGAAATAATACACACAAAATTTGTCAAACCAGCCCAACCCGACAACATACACCAAAGACTGAAACATGAAATACACATATTTTTAGTAAACTTTCATTTCGAAAACAAGGTATCAAAGTTGAATTTGGTAATCAAGGTAATAGAAATTAATGATGCTTAAAATTAAGCTAACATCATATCTGACGATCGATAAAGCAGGCAAAGTATTCTTGTAAATGGTGTTCATGCATGCGAGATATGATCCAAGGCATTCCTGTTGAAATTAGAAAGAAAATATAGCAAGGGAAAATTGGTCACCTAATCCGTAGGCAAGACAGACAGCCAACTGGGCAATAGCATAAACAGTTCCGTATGACGTCACGTGGCGCATATCCACCAACAGAGCTAGCTGTGGCATTAAAGCCGCGTCCACGATACCTAAAACATAGATTAGTAACAAATTGAATTCTCCTTCTCTCCCATCCCATTATGACATATGCTGCTTTATTATGCAGGAAAAAAAATAAATGAAATGAAAAGGAAATATATTACCCAAGCCAAGCCCAATGCCAAAGTGAGGAAGGATCAGCTGGGATACCGATGTTGAGAAAGGAATCTAATAAAAGAAAGGGTACTTTTTTAATCATAAAAGATAATTATTTCAATTTTGTTCGCCGAAATGTGGCTGAAGCATTGCCGATTCGGCGTAAAACAACAATAATCAATCAATCAATCTTGCCTTGAAGTGTAAACTAATTCTATTTCGAATAACAATTTATCGTAGAAGAAATATTCTAAAATTATATAGATTCTTTATCAGAGAATCTAATCAAAAGCATAGGAGGTATTGAGATAAGCTGACTTAATCTACACTTTAAAGATATGCATAATTAGGACATATGCAATGCAGTTTGAACTTTATTGTCTTTTTCCCTAAAGTTGAAGAGTTCCAATACTTAAAGGAACTGTGTGCTACATTTTAATGTCTATGTATGCTATTGTTCACTTCTTCTAAAACAAGTTTGGAGAAACAAAACATTTAGAATATATGTTTAGTAATTTTTGTATATTTTTCTTTGAATCATACACTAATTTTCATCAATTGATATCTTTTCAAACCCCCTGGTAATGCATGCCGATTTTTTGTCTACGAACATCTGATGGCACTATAATCTTAAATTAAGAATATTAAAAAAATTATCAGTAGGTAAAGTACGTTGCGTATGTCCTTAATATGTGAAGAGATCTTGTACAAATCAACGCTACCTTCAAAATGATATTTTTAAGTCAAAAATGAATCCAAGGACGATTGTTTAATATTGTCTTTCCAATAAAGGTGGCTCTTGAACAATGATTGCGAAGCAAAAAAAGTGTAAACAAACTTATTTATCACATTTGCTGGTAATTAATTATCAAGAGATGTTTATCACGCCTTCAGTTTATTGACATCCATAAATAAGAAATATTTCGGTCGACATTGTATCTCAGAAACAAGATCATTGTAGATCGTGAAACATTATTGCATATAATAATTAAAACACATACTAAACCCATAAAGCAAATTTTGATGACAAGATTTATATTGGTTTTCTGATGAAAAATTAAATTATGATGAGATAAATCACTCACACATATCAGACAGAATCCAACTAATATCATACAAAACATCGAACATATCCATCTACAAAGAGACAAGATTAATACTGAGGTAATGCAAGGGAACTCCAAAATCGTGAAGAAAGATGTCATAAATTATATTTTATTTTATTTTATTTTTTGTCCATTATATTTTACATGCGCTGCTCAAGTCGTCATATAAAAATTGGTTACCTTCCTACTTTCCTGGCAACTACTCCAAAGGCATTCGTACCAATCAGATAGCCAATACTGTCTGGCAGAAAAACTAAACCTAAAACATACAATAAAAGTGAGTTTTAATACGAATATTAAGGCGAATCAAGGAGACCCTCTTATCTTTTTTCATTACAAAATACGCACAGCTTCTCTGATAGTGAATAAATAAGTTCCTTATTGTATTATCAGTAGTATTGTTGACTTTGAACCATTTATTTTATTTTCTATTAATAACTATTTTTTGGTCATTTAAATGGGTTTATGAATGACATACAAAAAATATAAAATTATTTCTAAGCAACTGAGGAGATCAATACTTATTTTAGCCTTTGTCCAGATGTGCACTTTTGGAAGTTCCTTTAACCAAAAAAAGTTAATTTTTGTGTCCGGTAGTTTCAATGTGGCTACGTCTGTAACGACTTAATCCTAGTCATCTTACATTTAATAGGTCTCTTTAGCTGGATAATTATCTATACATAAAGTAAATTAAAGTAATGTCTAATCGGATAAAGGTATTTGTAACTCTTTCTAATGTGTCAACAAATTGTTCAAACTCCATATTGTATTTGTTTAGACACTTCATACTTTGACTTTACATAAAGCTAACATTATGAAAAATAGAATTTTATTACATTTTCAACAATGCAATACTGTATTTTTTTCTTGAATAAAAGTTATATTTTGTCACACTGTGAAAGAATTGCAGAAGTGCGGCAAAACTCGCTTTTACTTCCTTTCACGAAAAGTGTTGTACAAAACACTCCCTGACCTGTTATAAGATAGCGAAAGTAATTGAATAATGCTCACAGAGACAAAAAACTGACAACATTTTTCCAAATATGTTGTTAAAATCCATGTATACAATGTTTTCAAACGCAATCCCTAAGTTATAACGTCTCAATCGCTTAGCTAGGATGATAGTCTATGACACTTTGCTACGAAAAGACAGAGACAAAGGGAAAATCAAAGAAAATGTAATTAACAAAAAACTCAATATTTCACAGCTGAGTATGGAATGTTTTCCACTTCGTGAGACAGGATTTTTTTTAAAAATATTTTCAATCTTGCTTTGCACCGAGTTTCGTAAAAATATATTGTAAAAAATAAATTTCATATCCAACTACAGATCATTCAATATCTTCTATATATCTACCTGTGTATAAATGTTTTATATATATATTGGTTTTGGTTTAACATATTATATGCAGTGTGTCAAATCCGATCGAGGTCTTCATGTACATGGTTAACTAACAATTTAATAGGACTATATGTGCATGTACCAACCTAATTGCCAGTTTTGTGCTTTCATGGTATCGAGAATCCATATTGGTATCGTTGGTTCCAGAGTCGACATTGCCATAGTGGTGAGCATAATTATTCCTTGTTATAAAAATACACATTAAAAAAATGATCTCAAAACAGCTCATTGAAAAAAAATATTAATCTAAAAAAATACATTACTGCCATATTCTCTTTTTGGATTAGATAAAAGAACGTAAATATTACAAAAAACATAATGAAGATCATTATCTTATTAATGACTCATGTGACGTCATTTGATTTAAGATTATTAATTACTCACCACTTGTGATAAGTATCAAAGGATCTTTCAGGAGTTCAACTATTGAATTGGCTGCTTTGCTGGAGACCTGCAATTACAGAAACAAATCAACATGATATTGTCTCTTGTTTTATTGTGTAATTTTCGCGATGCTAGTACACTGGGCTTGTGAAAATCATGTTAACCAATTTTACCGGCATCCAATATGATCTTTTGATGATACAGCCTTGTAAACCTGTTAAAAACAACAATGTCTAGATAAAAAAAAAGTAAAACTATACTTTTAAGATTGAACCATACACATCCTTTGATAAAGTGTTACTTTGTGTCGAAACATTTGCCCTGTTCAAAAATTTGTATTGTTTAATGAACTTTTGAGTTTGAATACTGTTCGTTTTCTCCATGCATTTCATTACAATTTAAATTATTTCAACATTAACTCTATCAAATTTAACATTTGCATAGTTCTTTTATAGCTTAGAGGAAAATATGTTAATAGTCAATCGTATCATAATAAATTTAAATAAGTAAATTTCATTATATAGATAATAAATATACCCTTTTCCATATTGCACCCTATATCAGCCCAAACACGGATATCAGCCATAAAGCCCGAGGTTTGATATTAGTAGAGACTGATACAGGGCGTAATATGGAAAAGGGCATGCTTATTATGTTTATTACATACAGCACACATACACATAAATAACCATAGATTACTTATTACACTTGCATATTAATAATGGTAATTTAAAATTAGATACACAACTATTTACAGAGAATGTGAAATTCAATGAACAAAATATGTATATTATCACAGGTGGTGTATTTTAAGGTTTACTCCTCAGACGGTGTGATATAAATAAGCCCTGCAGATCTATATCAGACCTGCAGGATCCATATCAGCCCTGGAAGCTGATACGGCCATCAGGCATATTACATAAATATGTTAAGAAAACTATATATACACGTATTACTGAGTATGGAATAAAATGAACTAAAACCACCATGCATCTTACCGAAGTCGATGATGATGAACAAGGACAGAATAAGGAATGGCGACGATTGTCCACATAAAGAGTAAAGGAAGCCTCCAAACGGATATCCAACTGCAAGAAATATCATAAAAATGATTACCATTGTTTTGTTAACTAAATACGAAGTTCTTTATTTCGAATTTAACTTAATTAAAAACAGAAAAAAAAACATACAAACAAACCAACCAAAAAACCCCAAGGATTTGAGATATTAAAGTTAAAATTTAAAATATATTACATAAATGTGATTTGGACTATCAAGATATATCAACATATCCATGGTAATCTAAATATTGATATAAATACTGATGTCAACTGTAGTTGAATTTAATATATAAGGGATTGCGTGCAGTATTTTTCGCAGAATACATATGCATAAACGTTTTTGCAAGTTTACTCTTTACGATTGATTAATGAAATGCAATTATCAAAATCATACTCCTGAATTAATACATGTAACGCTTATCATGTAGACTTATTGAGTAACTCTTTATAATATTGATGTTAATTCAGTTATTATGTTCGATTTTGTAGGGTTATAACTAAAACTATGCAACATTATATTGATTGATATGTATGTAGAGATTTTAGTTTTTATATATTACTGCCTTGTACATGTAAATCAATAGTTTATGAAATGAGTATTTTTGAAGTGTCTTTGTATAATTGATACATGTATCTGTACAATTGTATGAATAGTAATGTTGTGTAGCATCATGTTTCTTTTATATTACCAACGACTCCAAGAGCAACTCCTCCCATTGCAACGCCCATCACCTTGCTTCTTTCGTAATCACTCTGATAAAGTTCAGCTAGCATACTCATGCCTTGAAGGTAAAAAAAATATTTATTTTTTTTTATATATGAATATTTGTATGTTAAAGTCAAAATTACAAAAGTAATCCAATAATAATAGACAATGATGTATGATATGATACGATACAAAAAGAAAAATTATAAACACCAAAGATGAAGGAAATATTTTTTCAGAAAATCGCATTCATTGAAAAATTATGCTTTCAGAATATGGATAAACAGATCTTATTTTTTCTGCAACCAGTGAGGTGTATCACAGGGATAAGATATTAAGAGAAGATTTACCAGCAATGGATGAAAATGAAGATGCAATTCCATGAACAAGTCGGCCGGCAAGGAAGGAGCTAAATTTTCCTGCGCAAGCGTAAACTTATAAAAAAGGAAGAAAATGTGTTTTACCTGTACGTTGAAAAGGTAATGAGAAAATTAGCAAATTACTAATTTATTATGACTTAGTTTGTCTTTTATCAATTGAATTAGTTTTTGGCATTATAATCAATTTTAATGAACACGATTTTTTAAAAATGGAATGTGGCAAGTAATGTAAAGTTATTTTTCTAAACTCACCAAGTGAAGATATGAACAACAAGAAAGTTCCAACAGCAAGAAGAATGATGTATCCATATCTAGTCAATAGAAAAGTCATTAATTCTTTTCTTTAATTACTTTTTTATTTAATTACATTTTGAAAAGTGGCACCAAAAGGTTTATTTTCGGGATGGAAATAACGTTTAATTTTAAGCCTAGTACAAAATTAGCAGATGATACTTTATTTTGATTTTAGTCATTAAAACATAGTTCTAGTACATAAAGGTACCTTTCTGACAGATATCCTACACAAGGATTTGCTGCAATCTGAACAAGTGCTTTGGAGGACAGGAGTAACCCCACTTGGCTGTTCTCATCCAGTGCTTTGTATGATTCTTGCAGTAATTGTTTTGTAAAGCTGAGTGACACATTCATATGGTGAGACAATGTCCCTAGACTAATGCTGTCATTTCCGACTGTAGTACTCTCTTCATTTCTATCGCTACTCATCAGAACCTCGGGGATAATGGGTACTTAAACATATGGATTTTGTTCAAAGTAAGCCTGTTTAACACCTTTTTTTTTCTTATCGAAATATTCCAGAAGATACCTAATTAACTTTACTCCTTGCCTTTTAAGACTAAAGCATCGAATGTATATATCAATGACAATGATCACACTCGCTTACCTTAAGTATACTTTGAATATCTTCTATATTAAACATCTTCATGTTTGTGAAAAAAAAATTAGTTTTTGTGAAACTTTTCATTTATTTTTATTATTTTTTTCATTATCTTTTGTTTAATGTCCAACTAAATAAAATATGCGAGTATTTTTTATTTTTGGATCCTGATTTTTACAAGAATGCAGCCATTGTTATTCAAATGCTTTCTTTTTCAAATATCCAATTCTTTTTTATGATTTCTGTGATGTAGGTTTAATATTATGAACCCTTTTAAGTATAAAAATATCACAGTACTTACCAACTGACGTTAGTAAAATATTATCCAACGTGTTAGTGCAAAAAATAATGATTAGAAGTGTTGTTTTGCTGACAAATAGTTTTTCTATAACGGAAGACATTTGCTCCATATTTAGTGCTGCGAAAAAAAAGTTTTTGTGAAGAATAAGCTACGAGACATTGAAAACAGATATATTGAGCAGACAACAAAATTAATCAAAGTTAATTATCAGATCTTCAACCGAGCGTATTCTTAATTTAGACATGATACTTCAATTTCTTTTCTTTTTCCATTTCACACATGACGACTCTGCAGTAATGAAAAAATTGATGGCAATAGATCATTTGAGCAAAAAATTCTATTAATTGTATTTTATTATGCTCCTACAATGTACTAGATATCATTATTTCTATACTTCCATACAACAGTTACATATTTATGTTTTTCATTCACAATAAAAGGACATACATAATGGTAGTGCACGATATTGATGATACTTAGTTACTTCGGGTACATTTTTACTCCTGAATTCTTTTAGATTAATTAAAGCTTTACAAGGTCATCTGAGTCACCCAAGTAACCTTTTGCTATGCAAACAGTTTTATTGCTCTATGTTTAGAAGTTAAGAAGATTTATAAAGATGGCATTAATTTTGATGGGTTTTTTTCCCAACCCCCAAGCCCTAGGGGTTAGGGACCATGAAATCCAAATTTTTATTTCCCTTCATTCATAGATGCTTTATGCGAAAATTGGATGAAATTTGGTCCACGTTTCCAACAAAAAGGCTAAAAATTTTCAAAGTTGTGAAATCTATGGACCCAGGGTCAGGGGTTCTGGCCCCGGGATGCATGAAGCATTTTAAGCTTTTTCTTACAGATGATTGAAATTTTGACTTAAGTCCAAGTCTGTTTCATGATAATGGGGCCTGGTGATATGACATTCCTCAAAAATCTTCTGCTCTGCTTTTGGGAGTTTAGCAGACTAACTAAATGCATAATTATGATGAGCAATAGTGCTTTTTCCAAAGTTGTGCAATTCTTAGACACAGAGTCCGGGGTTCTGGTGAAATGGTCAAGCTCACATAGTAAAAATGTATTATTTCTCTGAAAATTCTCTTGTCTTATCCTTAGTTTAAGAGGTTAACATGTAAGTGCGTGATTATGATGAGCAAAAGTTGTTGTTTTTTTCCCGAATATTGTGAAATTCATGACCCGTGGAGTAGGGAAGGACTCTTTTATAATCATGAAACGGAATTCTTGCTCTGCTTCTAGTTATTCACTTCTGATAATTAATCGATGTAAGTGATAAGTAAATGGAATAAAAGAATTATTAAAGAATTACTCGTGTACATTTATAATATAAAAAGTATTTTCATAGTTTGTAATAGTTAGGAGGACTTGTAAATAATAGATGGAAAAAAAAAACATGAGACAAACATACCTTACTTATTTGCATTAAATATTATCCAAAGACAAAGAGAGTCTAATAGCTTTGACATACTTTGTGAATACTGTAATTTATGTTCAAGCTCTATGGTATTGTTATGTACGGTGATAGTGATTGAGTGTAGCTGGCATTTAAAGAACAAGTTTCTGAGTTGCTGTTGATTACCAGAATAACTGTTTCATTGATCTCTGGTCATCCAAATTCTCTTGTTTTTTTAAGTTACAGGTTATTTTGCGTTATTTCTTAAATATTAACCATTCCAGGGATCCTTTACAGGGTCCAAGTATATTCAGGTGACCATTAAGGCCCTTCGGCCTTTTGTTATTAATCTTCTTGATGAATTCTAGGATATACAGTAGGTACAATGTACATGAACTTACATTTTCAATTTACATGTTTATTAAAAAAAAATAAACTAATCTTAAATAAACTTATCTTTTATATAGTGACATTCGGTATGTATATTTCTAATTTAAAAAAAAAATCAAATATTTATGATTTAAATGCAACTGTAAACTGCAAGATATAAACAAAGCATGTTATAACTCTTAGATGAAAAAGATTTTCAATGCTCTTCTATGCATTTAAAAGTGAATTAGGTGACTTAAAACTACAACAAAACCTAGTATATCTAGTACCAAATAAAAATTCTGTTGACATAAAATAAGAACTGACCTGTATTTATATATCATGTCGACAAAAGTGAAAATTTACTTATCTGGAAGCAACAGACAAGACAATTTAAATAAAAATAATAGTCAATTGGGAAGATTTGGCAAAAACAAAAATTAGACGACCTCTCAGATATGTCCTGTAGAAGCATTTAACCTAGAAAAGACTCTCGCTCTGAATACAACCAAACAATGTTTCAGTGCCGTCTACAATTGACCCCGGGCTCCCGGTCATCCAGTTTCCAACAAAATGCGCAGTAATTATAGATAAACGTAATCAACCCTTCACGCACCAGATTAATTGATTTTTAAATCATTTTACATTTGTCGCTTACTTGACATTGACTGGGTGTTATATTGTTGTGTGAAATGATTCTTAATGAATGTAGTTCACATAATATGTCTGCTTAATGGACAATTAAAAGGAATTTTATCAATCAATTTGAAATAGTTCCATCCTTCATAAGAAACGTTTTGCTACTTTTTTTTATCATTTTTTTTATAATGAGTTGTAAATAGAAGGTTTAAATACATTTCAGTTATGTATTAAATCCTGTTTTGGAAATTATAATTAAAAACTGGCATTTGTATGTTTACTGATCACACATTGAGTAAATATACACACTTTGTGAAATGCTTTCAAAAACCTATTATACCATTTTTCAGGGAGACGAGAGTTCTCTCTTACGACGAATATTTGAAACAAAAGACATCATTTGCAGTTAATTAAACGCATTTTCAGATCAAGAGATGCCATGGAAAGTATTTTTTATGTCATAATTTGTTTTCCTTATATAAATGCCTCACTGTCTAAATCAGATTTAAAAATATGAGATTCTTATTCTTTGTATTATTTTATGAAGTTATATAAATTATATTCTACTATTTACTCTTTACTATAGTTATTTGTTAGCATCCTTTCTGTTATATCTCATTTTACCACTTGCCCAAGAAAATGCAGATTATTATTGCAAAATGTTCTGGAAAGAACATAAGCCAAAAGATCTAAGCAAAAATCTGTACCTGGTCTGGTACATTGTGGCCCCATTATTGTTATAAAGGACAATCAATTTAAATAAAAGTGATGTCATACTAACTTCTGATTAAACTAACTCTGTGTCATAATTTTTTTTTTTTTTTTTTTTTTTTTTTTTTTTTTTTTTTTGCAAGGCAATATCCATGTGTTTTCAATGGAACTCTTAGACCAGTTTTTTTTTTTTTTTTTTTTTTTTTTTTTTTTTTTTTTAAATCGCTTTAAAATGTATTTCACGGCAATTGAAACAATGATTAATTTGCATTGGTCTCGGTCAATTAATTCAGGGGTAATAATTATTGATTACATAAACTTATTTATTATTTTGATACGTTCTTTCAATATGTTTATCAAAGGAGATTAGTGATTAATTATTTTTGATTAATTAACCCTTCCTAAGTTTCAGAACATCAAAGAGACATTCTAAAGATGCAAGAGATTAAGCTGTCAATAGCGCGGTAAGAGGAGTGATTTCATGCTCTTTGATGTGGATCAATAAATGCTAGATTTTCGTAAAATGTGTATATTACTGTGGTATAACGTTAAATGCTGGCTGGAAAGAAGTAGAACTTGTATCAAGAATCTCCAAATGTAAGTATCTACATGTACTCATTATATTATGTTATAGCTTGACTGTTCATGCATGTCGTAGTTAGTTATCTGAGAATGTTCAATAGGTCAAATATGTGGCTCAGATGACAAATTTGAAAAAAAATGTTTCGACAATTTTTTTTTCTGTTCAACGATAAAGTGTAAAAGTCAAAATGATAAATGCTTACATGGATTAACTTGATTTTTCTTATTATTATCCATAAAGTCAGCACATGACTATTATTATCCTATTTTTCCTTGTTTTAATGAAAGAGTCAGTTGGTTTAAGGAGGATGATGAAGTCTGAAAAAGAAAGGTGATTGGAAATCTGAAAATATCATTCCATGCTTAAAAAAACGGTTTATACGTTATACATTGTAATTAACATGTTAGGAAATCCGTAGTCTTTAATTTGTTAATCAATAAACTAGTAGACACTGCTTGTCAATAGAAAACAAATTCGAGTTGAAATATCTGAAATCGTTTAGATCTCTTATACTTTCTATGTATAGAAATCTCTTATACTTTCTATGGCTGATACTTGATAATAAATTAATTTAGACATAGCATAAGTGTAACCATTAAATAGGTTTTGTTCAGCTTATCAGATGAAATACAGACATCTATTTAAAAAATCTTATCAATTTAAATATAATTCCAAAGGATTTCAAAATTAAGAACATAGAAATATAGTGGGCACCTTACGATGGTCCCCTTGTTTTTGTTTATTTGCCTGTCATAAACATTTCTATGTAACACTATATTCTAATCTTAATTGCAAGTAAGATATACATGTATATAATTTTGTGCTGACTGTGTATAGATAAAATTTAATAAATTGATGAAAGCCGTTATCTTTTCTTTTTTACATTCATTTTTAACAAAACAATTTTATCGTCCTTCGAGACAACTTTCAAACATATGAAGCATATTTGTGCTATTGCTTTTAGCTAAACATTGTCGAATATTTCACTACAATGATAAATTACCTTTACCGAAAGAAAGTTTCTTTTCCCATCGCAACGAAATTGGAGAGGATATAATAACGCATTTGTTAGTGTGTGGTTGGGTAAGTGTGCACTTGTTCGTATGAGAATCCTTTCGGTGCCCGTACTATTGAGATAGCTGGATAGTGGTAAGAAAAATACACAGCTTTATACATGTATTAGGGTTTGCACATTACCAGTAACAGTGCTGTAATGATCAAAATTCATTCATTCATGGCTTCTTCATTTGTTGTATTTTACCTAGTACCAAATGTCATAAAATTCCAATACAGAATCATACAAAAGTCATTCATCTATTTCTTAATAAAGACAGTTTTACGTGGCGGTATTCATTGTGAATAATCTTATTACTAGTGCTGTAGAACAATGTAATGTTGGAGAA